TTTTCCTCACTTGATAAAGAAGCTATAGGGAAAAAAAATCAACTTCATCACACAGACACATTTTTTTCTTCATTGTCACCAGTTACAATCTCCTTATCCTCCCCAAGCATTTGGACTCTGTAAAACCCTTTCACTCAACACATCAAATATACACCATCTTATTCAGCCACTCAGACCTTATCAGATTCTGAGCTTCTGTCTCCTAACAATGCTCTGCACAGTCCGCTTGCTCTAGTGACCTCTAATGGACATTCATTTACCTATGTTTTTATCTAAGGATTTCTATGAAGTCATATCAACCCACAGTCATCAGCTCTTCAGGATGTCATAATTCCTCTTCAGAGGTCATCTTCCTCCCAACAGCAGCAGTACAGTATCACAGACCTAATGTCCAGGAGCTTGCTCAATCCCCTCAGGTCTCACATCATCCAAAGGCAGTGGCAGCCATGTCAGGAATCATCCCAGATTATTTGTGCTCTGTAGTCCCATATCATGCCAAAGAGGTTCTTCTATAGTAAGGGGCAACTCTTTGACTTAACAATTTAACTTAATCCCTTCCCATGGTCTCCCCTCAAACTCTTTTTTAATTTCAACCAAGTCCTACTTCCTAACTATTCAATTCGTCAGTGGTTCTGTTCATTACAAGTCATTAGTCAGAGGATAGGGCACCTCTTTTGGGGCCAGAAGAAACGACTATATGTTTGATTTTTAATTAAGACCTCTCCCACTTGTTCTGACTCAAACTGAGTTTTTGGTTCCCTGATGCATTGTGATTTCAATAAAAGTCCTTTAACAATCTCTTTTTCAAACCTCCATATTCATCCAACTTCCTTACCCATGCATGGTCTTCTAAGCCTATGCACATTCACTGTCTCTTTACCGTCTATAGGAAATTCCCAAAACCATATAAAAATATCACTTCAGCCATATAATCCCTCCAACCAAATAATTTTCATGCTTACATTTCCCATTCTCCAATGGTTAGATTTTTTCTTCTGTCAACATTATACTTCATATCATATTTTAGCCAAATTTGGGCCCTAAGAAAATATATTTTCCAGAATATTTCTTAGCAAAGTACCACTTTCCTATGACATGTTCTCTGATACCTGATCATAAGCAGTCAGCCGTGAGTATACTTCCCAGAAATCACCCTATTGGATGTAGAAATATGAATGTGTTTTATTTGAGTTATCAACTGGGTTTTGCTATACTTGTGGCCTCCCTACAGATTTGGGACATGTACTAAGCCCTCAGGACAACATGAGTCAATTTTTTAAAGGGGAGAGATGGCGATGGAGATAGAGTTGTAGATGAGAGAAATAGGAAGAGAGAAGAAAGAAAGAAGAAAAGGAGAGAGGGATAAGAGAGGTAGAGAAAAACTGATGAATATTCCTTATTATGTATATTCTGGAAACCCTGACTACACAGCTTTGAAATTGGCATAGCTCTAGATCCTTGGTGAAAAAAAAGGTCCTCTTATGGTGTCTTTGAAATAGTCTCAATTTCCAGAAAATTAAAATAATTCTGATTTGCTTTTAAAGGATGGCCCAAAGTTGTGTTGGTAAATGGCTTGCTGGGCACTCCAGAAATGATGAAGGGAGAGCTATAGTAGGCCACCAGGAGGGAAAATCCAGTGACTCAAGAGAAACCTACTTTGATCTGGGTTGCCATCCATTTGAAGGAGTGGATGGCAGAGGCAAGAGGATAGAGATTTCAAGAAGAGTCGGTAGAATCTTTATAGAATAGGCTCAGGTACAATGAGTAGAATCTATTCATTAGAAATGTCTCATAGAGCAATCTGAAGAGACAGCTGTCAGTAAAGTTCTTGCATACAAGCATAACAACCTGAGTTTAGTCACCAGGACCCACATTTTAAAAGCCAGGCTTTCTGGCTCTGCTTGCAAGTCCAGCAAAGGTAGATCCATACAGTTCTCTTGCCACCCTGCCTAGCATACATCTTGCCTTGCCAGTGAACTTGAGGTGGTGGCCACACCCTATGGGCGTGGCTTCCTGTGTGCAGCTATGAGCCCTTATAAGAGGAGGGGCTCATTTACTCTCTTGGGTTGTGCTGAGAGTATGGGAAGAGCATCTTCTGGATCAGGAAGACAGTCACAGTTATTCAGTATCATTTGTGTAAGTGTGTCCCTAATAAATACCTATTTATCATTTATCTTGGATCTGGTGGACTCATTTAAACCCCACATTTAGCCTACTCGACAAGTAATGGGTCAAACAGAGACCCTGTCTCAAGAACCATATGGAAGCCAAGCACTGTAGAAGATTCCTAAAATATATACATATATAACGGAGTTTAAAAGAAGTTACCATATAATGGAAAAGACAACAATGTGGCCAAATAGCACCCCCAGTACCAGGAATAGATCACATCTTACATCCTGCAAACATTACAGGGTTCTTATTGCCATGACATAGCCTATTCTCCACACTTGACAGTCAGGACTACTGCTGAGCATATCACATATTTATATCATAGAACAAGAAGAAATCTAGCTGATACCGGATGCTTCATCCCTGCTGTCTATCATTCACAGCACTAGAAGATGCTATATGCACCAACCACCAGAGGAGAAAAGCAAGCATCAAGCTCACCCAGCTCTGAACCCTATGTGTTAAAATAGTCACTTGCCTATGAGCATGCCCACTGGTGCTACAGTGGCACAAATGTTATGGGAGTAACGAAACGCATTTTTATTGGATTTAAGACCTGTTCCATGAATGGAATTCATATCTGATACTGTTAACCCAAACCTGAGACTAGACAGGTTATGAATCCTAGAGGGAAACCTACTACTATCATTCTACTAAAGGAACATAGCAATAAAATGACACTTAATGCCATATCGCAATACCCAATACCCATAGATCAGTGCACCTCTCACCCTTTATCAGAGAGGCTTATTCTTCCAGCTGATGGTGATTAACAGAGACTCACAGCTGGACAACATGCACAGAGAGAGAAACTTTAGAGTTGTTCAACTCTAAATGTGATGTGCTTATCATTACCTCTCCCCTCAGTGCTCGGGAGTCTATGGAAAAGAGAAGTGGGAAGATTATAAGAGCAAGAGATAGTAGATAATTCAAGAAAATGGCATTTTCTATATTCGACAGGGCACATAAGCATATGAATTCACTGATAGTTTGACAGCTTATACAGGATCTGCACAAGCTTAAGCCAGACAAACTACCAGAATGGAGGAGGGGAAGTGGGTACAAAGTTCTACTCCTTGACAAAATGCTGCTAGCAACTGATAGTTTCTGGGAGAGGGAAAATCAGTTTTCTTCAATGAAGTGACACTGGTATATTCATATGCCATGGCAGGCCCAATGTTCAGAAGTAGCTGTTCAACACAAAACGGTGTATGTGTTTTGGGTTTTTTTTGGGGGGGTCTTTTGTTTTCTTTTGTTTCCAAGAGAGAGAAAGAACATGAAGTTACCTGAGTTGGGAGGTTGAGAAAGACCTAGCAGGGAAGAGAATATGATCAAAATATAGTGTCTAAAATCCTCAAAGATGAAATAAAAGCATAAAAAAGTGGACAAAACCAGAGAAATTACTCAAGACTCACTAAATGTCTCTCCTTCATATACACAAATGTACCACATGATCATACACACACACACACACACCTAAAAACTAAGGTAAAATAAATTATTTATAGGGAGGGTTAAAGAAGACAATGCAAGGATACGGTCAGAGCTACTGGAGAATGGGACCCAATCCCCAGAGAGATGGGAGAAACAACCTTAGACATATTGGCCCCCCACAGCAAGGGAACAAAAGGAGGCAGGGAAGTTAGAGCTCGTACAGCCATCATGACCCAGGAACAGAGGCTAGTTATAAAATTCCAGACACTGTCCCTAAACTCTGTGCCACAACAGATGCCCTTCCCCTATAATGAGATTGATGACTACCTTAAATGCCATCATAGAGCTTTCACCCAGTAGCTGATGGAAGCAGAAGCAGAGATTCACAGCTGAGCACTGAGCCGAACTCCTGGAATACAGATGTAGAAAGGGAGGAGTGATGAGCAAAAGGATCAAGACCATGCTGGAGAAACCAACAGAAACACCTGATCTGAACAAGTGGGAGCTCACGGACCCCAGACTGAGAGCTGGGGAGCCAGCATAGGACCAGACGAGGTCCCCTGAATGTGGGGTGTCAGTCAGGGGACCTGGGTAGTTGATGGGGCCTCTGGCAATGGAACCAGTATTTATCCCTAGTGCACAAATGGACTCTGGGAGCCCATTCCCTATGGAGGGATACTCTCTCAGTCTAGATAAATGGGGAGGGCCTAGATCCTGCTCCCAAATGATGTGACAGACTTTGAGGATCCCCATGGGAGACCTCACCCTCCTTGAGGAGTGGATGGAGAGTGGGATGGGGAGTTGGTGGGGGGAACGGGGGGATAGGAGGGAGAGGGAACTGGGATTGGTATGTAAAATAAGATTGTTTTTAATTTAAATAAAATTAATTTTAAAAAGAAAGAAAGAAAAAAGCTAGCCAGTCTGTGGTAGCACATGCCTTTAATCCTAGTACTTAGGAGGCAGAGGCAGGCGGATCTCTGTGAGTTTGAGGCCAGTCTGGCCTACGGAGCCAGTGGCAGGAAAGGCTCCAAAGCTCCACAGAGAAACCCTAATTCAAAAAAACAAAAAAAAAAGAAAAAGCTAATATGCTATGAGCCAAGTTCTCAGTCATTGACACTGTCAAGCCTGGTCTCTCTATGAGTGCAAGCTGGGGCTGAACGCAGCAAGGCAGGAGCTGGCAGACTCTCCAGTCCTACATGCCTAGTATAACACTTGAACTTATGCAGAACCTGGAACCCTGTAAGACTGCCTGTGCCAGTCCTGCATGCCTAGTGTAACACTTTAACTTATGCAGAACCTGGAACCCTGTAAGACTGCCCGTGCTGAAGAATATCTTCAAATTCAAAGTGATAAAAGAAAGGTATGTTTCAACTTTTGGCTTTGGCTCAACTTACCTCAGTGTGGTTTTCTTCACTGAAGAATTATGCTGATCATTCTATGTACCCAAGCTGTTCAGTTTTCATTCTTAAAAATATATAAACATGCTTTAAAGTTTAATTCACTTCCTCCTGCAGATTTTTAAACAAAAGTAACATTGTAATGTGTCTGTCTGCACAAACGCGTGAGATAACTTACATTCATATACGCATTTATTTGTATAGACATTTATTACCCACCTACTTACTGGTCTATGACACCACATCAAGTAGTGAGAGTGGCAGGTATGAAATTACAAATAGCGTTTTCTAGCAGATTAAATATCCACTATTTATCACCCTTCAACTAGGAGATTATTAGAATGTATTTAAGGCATTGTTCTAAACAAAAATGTCTTTGATCCTTGGAGAATGTCGATACCAGCTGCCTTTGAATCTGGTTATCCCTTATGTTGTAAAAAACATTTAACTTTTATTAATTCTGTTCTTTGATAATTTCAACCATGTATATATTGCATTCTGACTACTCTCCCCTTGCTCCACACCATTATTTCCCCCCAACCCCCACATCCACACCCATCCCTCCCTAGAGCTCTTTCTCACATCCATGCCTTTGTGTTTGGTTTGTGAGTCTGCGAGTTTAAACAGGCCCATCTATGTGACCATTGACACAGAACCTCTGAGTGGAGACTGGTGAACTCACCAGGAGGTACTCAATGGCAGACAAAGGCTGCCCTCCCACAGACTCCATCAGCAACCAATAGTTTAGGAGGAATAGGAACCCATGGTCCCTCCCTGATCCATGTTTGACAGCTGACAATGATAGTATATGTCCAGAGCAGGCAACCCCAACTATTGTGAGATCATGATTGCAGTCTTATCTTCTGGCTTAAACATCCCAACAAAGGAGACACATACTCTGTCAGCATCAGGCATATGAATCAAAAACTCTGTTTTCCTCAGTCTTTGCAAACCTTCCCATCCTCCCTTCTTGCCTTTATCTCACTAATTATTTGAGTTTGGTGTTAGTCTTTCTACTGTCCTTCCTTACATCTTCATGTCTTCCAACTATAAAATGCATTCCTCCCTGGGTTGCTGTGAATGGAACTGGATTAAATGTGACTCTGTTGCTCTTGGAGGCAAAGCTGTAGTTTGCTTTTCTTAGCCTTTACTTGTGACCACCCACATCACTGGACACCTAACAATTGCCTCTGCCAAGTGATTGCAACCACACTGGAAATTTAGCCTTCAGCTAGGCTGACTCCAATAATTTCCTCTCTCAAAACTCTAAGCTGGAAGGCCAGCACGGACATTTTCTCATCACCTTCACTGTGGTTCCTGCCATCCCTGGGGGTGGGCTTCTTCATCCAATTGGATGAGGGCTATAGGTAACCCAGTGTCTAGGCAGCTCTTTCTCAATTCTCTGGAGCAGGTCTCCAAGCAGCTGGGCCTCCCCCATTCATTTACTGCTCCACTGAGCCTTTGTCTCATTCAGCCAGCTAGCTAGCCTTCTTGGTTTGAGAACAATAAGTGCTTGCAAAATTTTTACATTTTAAGACCAACATGGTGAAAAGGCCTACAGGGGTTTTTATTTAAATAACCTAGGCAATATTCATTTTACTACAGACCTTGCTGTTATCCCCTCTCTCCAAATTTCATCAAAAGCTTTTAACAACAACTGGTTTCCCCTCCAGGGAACCTTCACAGCAGCTGGCAATGAGCCCATAGGATCTAGGAATAAGCCATTCTCAGTAGCTCCCAGCCCCCCAGATGCTTCCTGGTACTAGGGAGTCCTCAATTTGTTTTCCTACCAGAACATTTTAAGGAACCTCACAACTTTGCTCGTGCCTTTTTATTTTCCATTTTATGCTCTTTATTTACATTTTATTCTCATCTTTACTTGACATCCATGTTTTTACTCTTAACTGTTTAATTGTATCTTGTGCGCTCTGCTTCCTGATGTGTTCATGTTTACATGGTGTGTGTGTGTGTGTGTGTGTGTGTGTGTGTGTGTGTGTGTGTGTGTGCTGTGTGTTGCCTTCAGGTAAATCTTGAGTGAGTGATGAGTGCACCAGGATGTAAGACTTGGATCACAATCTAGTTTACAGTGCCATCATAACTATTTGGATCCTCTGCAACGTGTGTGATTTCCTGTTAGCCAAAGATAGTTTTTGTGAATCATTTTCTCTGTAGCTTAACCTCACTCCTCCTGCTTTGCTTCTTCATCATAGTGTGCAGGCTCCTGTGGCTATGTACATGTGTTTCAATCTTGGCTCTCACTTTTCCCAGGTGATAACCTCAGGACCTCTGAGCTTCAGTTCTGGCCTATGAATTTGAGTGATGATAGTCTCTACCTTAGGCAGTACTCTTGGGGGAGATAAGTTTAACTTTAAAAACACTTAATATAGGCATTGGATATGTTCCATTATGTTATCTATTGTTATTTTCCATGTTTTAAAACTATATTTTGATGTATTTACTGGATTGTATGAGTGCTTTTGATTATGTGTGTGTGTGTGTGCACCATGTGTGTGTAAGTCAACTCAAGAATGCATTAGAGGCCCTGGAATGAGAGGTGCAGATAAGCATTGGTCACCATGTGAATAATGGGAACTGAACCCATGTCCTCCGCAAGGGTAACAAGTGCTCTTAAACACTGTATCTTCCAGCCCCTTATTTTCCATATCTTTTATAAGTCTACTGCACTGAAATCTAATCATAATTGACACCTTAGTTGCCTTTAAATTATTTTGTAATAAGATATGGTCTCTATTTTTCTTAAACTCCCTAAAACACCCCAAGAGAAAGAAACTTAGTCATTGATATTAGGAGAGCTGGAAGGGACATTGTGTTTATCAATGGCTTTCATGTTAGAGGGCTTCTGTTTATTAACATTCCTCACTTATATTTATGTACATAGTTTCATGTAGCCATGTGTACAAATCTATCTGCTGGTAGAGTCACTGTATCAGGATGATGAAAATTGAAGTAAAACCCTAAGTTTGTAGGTTAACCTCAAGTAAGACCTTTCAGAAACCCAAAAATCAATCCCCAAGAGATGGGATGCTGCAATGATACTTGATTTAATCTAGCCATTGTGATGATGTCTCTGCAGCCAACTTACACACTGCATTTGGTACTGGACTCCGTATGTCTCCCCTCACACCGATTCCTCCAGACACCCTAGATGTGCTGGTATGGAGACCATCAGCCCCATCTTCTAAGCTGACACCCTGGGAATTTCGGGCACAGTGTTATAGGCAGAGTAAGGTTTTCATGAACACCCAGATAAAATAATATCAAATATTTACTGGGAACACTTACACAGGAAGGTAGAAAGCCTCCGAGGTCTTCTGCCCTGGAGGTGCAGGATGCCACTCTGTTATCTACCACCACCCAGGGGAGCACCAGCCTGCTGCCAGTGGGCCCATGGCGCCTGAGACACCAAAGAGGCTGCTCCCTCAAAGACTATTGGCTGAATGAGTTCCCACAATGCAGCGTCATCTCACTCTCCTCTAACCACCTGTATCCAGCAGCTTTAACTCCCAAAATCACCCCTGATGTTCTCTGTGTCTCCATTGAAGTTATATCACTGCAGGGCCAATTCACTTATTCCAACTGCATGAAATCTCATGTGGTTTCCAACTGCTCTGAAGCTCCTCTGGTATGAGTTTCCACCAATTTCAGCATGACATTTCTTATATAGACACATCAGTCCTTCAACTTGCAAAGCTCTGAGGACAAAGTCAGATGACTGACCCTGAAGTCTAGAGTCTGGCTACTCTGAAACTCATTGTCCTAATTTCACACCGCTCCTGTCCAAAGACCTTAGGTACAACCATGACTTTTGAATGCACATGCCAACCTGCCATTTGAATTTCTTTTTCTTGGGCCAAAGTCTTTTCCAACTCTATTAGGCTAGAAAATTCTCCATATTATTCCAAACCATATTCAAATGTCTCTGCAAAGCCTTTGATGAAAATTAAAGGACAGATTAAAAGTGAATTTGGCTTCCTTACAGGTGAAAGAGCAGAGATACAGTGAGATATAATGAGAGTGAGAACTATGAGAAACTTTTATTGTGTGTGTGTGTGTGTGTGTGTGTGTGTGTGTGAGAGAGAGAGAGAGAGAGAGAGAGAGAGAGAGAGAGAGAGAAAGAGAGAGAGAGAGGGAGGGAGGGAGAGAGGGAGAGACATTTCTGTAAGCCAGGGATAACCTCCTGTTTCTATCAAACAAGGAGGTATGCCAAATGATCACTAAATATATTGGTTACTTTTCCATTGCTGTGATAAAACACCATGAGTGAGTACAGGGGACATAAATTATAGGATGGAGACACAGCTACAATTTGTAGAGAGAGGGAGAGGAAGGAGAGAGAGAGAGAGAGAGAGAGAGAGAGAGAGAGAGAGAGAGAGAGAGAGAGAGAGAGAGAGAGAGAGGAGAGAGAAAGAAAGGGGAGAAAAAGAGAGGAAGAGGGAGAAGAGGGAGGGAGGGAAAGACAGAGGAATGGAGGCAATGTGAGCCAGATTTCATCATTAAACTACCTTTGGACCCACTGATCATACCAAGTGATTTACCGGTAAAGTGGATTCCCAACAATGAACAAACATAACAGGACTATAATCCCAGTGATTTCTAGGGCAATGAGACACCTGCATTCTGACCAGCCATATAGGGGACACTGTGTTAACCATCACAATCATGTGGTATAGGAAAAACAGATTACTATATGATTAGTTGTCCTATTCTTAAAGTATTATCCTAAAGCTAACCCCATAGAGTATAAACTGTCTTAAAGGATTTATTTAATTATTTGTATATGTATATGTCCATGTGTGAGTTTGTCTTTGCAAATAAGTATCCACAGAGGCCAAAGAAGGTGTCAGATCCTCTGGAACTGGAGCTACAGGTTACTGTTGCAACCACTTCCAGCCAATGTTTTCCTGTTTCATTTTAAGCCAGGCATAGTGATAGATGCCTGTAATTCCAGTTATGCAGAAGTTTGAGGCAAGACCATCTGAGCTCAAGAGTTCAAAGCCAACCTGATTAACATAGTAGGACCCTATCTCTAGTTAATGAATTAATTACATTAAATGATTTGATGGATAATCTTATCTATAAGCAATATAACC